TAGCTGGCTGTGGAGCATCCGGTGCCTGAATCATAGGACGGGGACCCTGCTGCTGCGACTGAGTACCCCTCAATCTCGGGCAAGATCTCCTAATGTGACCATACTCACCACACTCATAGCACCCCTCTGAACGCTGTGGCTAGCCCTGGCGACCTGAATGACCTCCGCGAAAACTCTGAAGTGGCGGTGCCCTGATGGGAGGTGACGGTACACTGAGGGACTACTGATAAGAATAATGCCCACGGTAACCACGATCACTTGGGGCACTCTGAGAAACCTGGAGGGCTGACTGGAAAGGCCTGGAGGGCTGACCCCTATCATAAGAATCCCTGCCTCCAAATGAGGCACCACTGAAACGACCTGAGTGACGGGGTCTCTTGTCCACTCTATGGTCACCCCCTGTGCCAGAACCATCTCAACTCGGCGGGCCACATTGGCCGCCTCCTGAAAGCTGATCTCACTACCAGTCTCCCTAGCCATCTGGAGATGAATCGGCTGAATCAAACCATCAATAAATCTCCTCACCCTCTCCCTCTCAGTGGGGAGTATGACAAGAGCATGGCGAGCTAGATCGATAAACCGGGTCTCATACTGGGTGACTGTCATAGAGCCCTGCTGGAGACGCTCGAACTGTCTGCGAAGAGCCTCTCGCTGAGTAACTGGGAGAAACTTCTCCAAAAACAACTCTGCAAACTGATCCCATGTCAATGCGGCGACCCCGCTGGTCTGGCTAAACAGAAATCCCTCCACCAAGTCTTGGCGGATCCTGCTAGACGAAAAGTGGCGAAGTCGACCCCATTGCTCTCCACAATACCCATAGTCCGAAGAACCTCATGGCAGCAATACAGGAAATCCTGGGGGTCCTCTGAAGAAGCATCGCTGAATGTGGTGGTGAAGAGCTTGGTGAACCTATCCAGTCTCCACAAAGCATCTGCGGACATAGCCGCTCCATCGCCGGTCTGAGTCACAATACCCGGCTGAACTGCCACAGCTGGCTGAACCACTGGAACCTAAGCCTGGGGAGCTACCTGCTCCGGAGTACGTGTAGCAGGAGTCTGAACTCCTCCTCCAGCCTGAGAAGTGGCTGGTGCTACTGGAAGCAAACCTGCTCTAGTGACGCTCTCCACAAAGCCTACCAATCTGACCAGAGCTCTTGAAGAACTAGGGTGGCTATGAACCCCTCTGGGACCTGAGCTGGGCCAACCGGAGCTGTTGGGGCTGGAACCTCCTCATCATAATCAACATGAGGCTCCACCTCTGGGACTGCTGCTCGGGGCTGAGCTCTGCCCCTGCCTCGGCCTCTGGCACGGCCTCGGCCTCGCCCACTGCCCCTCGTAGGGACTGCTGCTGGGGGCTCGGGCTGCTGCGCGGTAGAAGAGTAGCTTTCATGGTTGGTGAGCGGGTCTTGCTCCGAGTGTCGCCTATGAAGGGCGTGATGAGATTTGGGAAGAAGGGCAAGCTTAGCCCTAGGTTCATTGGCCCATTTGAGATTCTCGATCGTGTGGGAGAGATGGCTTACAGACTTGCCTTGCCGCCCAGCTTGTCAGCCGTGCATCCAGTGTTTCATGTGTCCATGCTTCGGAGGTATCACAGCGATCCAGCCCACGTGTTAGATTTCAGCACTGTCCGGTTGGACAAGGATCTGTCTTATGAGGAGGAGCCGGTAGCTATTCTAGACCGGCAGGTTTGACAGTTGACGTCGAAGAGTTTTCCTTCAGTGTGTGTCCAGTGGAGAGGTCAGCCTCCTGAGGCATCGACCTGGGAGTCCGAGTCTGATATGCGGAGCCGTTATCCTCATCTATTTCCCGGCTCAGGTACTTCTTTCTTTTGTCCGTTCGAGGACGAACGGTTGTTTTAGAGGTGGAGAATGTGACGACCCAAAGGGTCATCACCTATTTTCTCTTTCATTCCGTGATTTTGAGGCCTTGAAAGCCTCATTTTTACTTGCCTCGATTTGCGTGCGCAGTCCGGCGCATAGCTGGAAAGCTTAAATATGAATTCTGTGTAAAAATTTATGAATTTTGATATTAATATGATTAAAGTTGACTTTGGTCAACATTTTGGGTAAACGGACCCGGACCCGCGATTTGACGGTCCCGGAGGGTCCGTAGAAAAATATAGGACTCGGGCATATGCCCGGAATCGAAATCTGAGGTCCCGAGCCCGAGCAATGAATTTTTAAAAGAAATTGTTTTTCTGAAATTTACATGAAAATTTAAAATGAAAATGGATTAGAAAGCGTTGGTATCGGGCCCGTATTTTGGTTCCGGCGTCCGGTACAGGTCTTATATGTGGTTTAAGCGCTTCCTGTGAAATTTGGTCGAAATCGGACGTCGTTTGACGTGTTTCGGACCTAAATATCTAACAATGAAAGTTTATGAAGTTTGAAGAAAAAGTGATGATTTTGAGGTTTGATTCCTCGTTTATGATGTTATTTTGGCGATTTGATCGCACAGTTAAGTCCGTATGATGTTGTTGAGTTAGTGTGTGTGGTTGGTTAGGAGCCCCGAGGGCTCGCGAGTGATTCAGAGGTGGTTCGGGGTGTTTTGGAACTTAGGAAGAGATCAGATTTTCTGCATTTTTTTCACAGACTTTTTGTTCTACGCGATCGCGGCCTAAGGCTCGCGTTCGCACTGCCTTGTGTCTCCCCTCCTTCGCGTTCGCGGTACCCTTCCCGCGTTCGCATAGTTCTGGTGACCCCTTCAACGCGTTCACATATAGCCTATCGCATTCGCATAGGCCAATCCTTGGACCCCCCAGTTTTCCTTCTTCGCATTCGCATACTACTCATCGCGAACGCGATGCTTCCCATCCGCCCTTCTTCGCGAACGCGACCCCAGTGTCGCGAACGCATAGAGTAAAACCCTTCAGTGATTTTAAAGTTCAAAAACAGATCAGAGACGGGTTTATTCCCAATTTTCTCACGAGCTCTTCTTCTCCACAGCCCCTAGGCAACTTTTAGAGCGATTCTTCACCAAAGCTTCTTGGGTAAGTATTCTCTAACTCGTTTTCTTCATTTTCTAACCTCATTTATCAAATTCCTAGACCTAAATCATGTAATTTAGGGTGTAAATTGGGGGAATTGGGTAGAACTAGGGCTTTTCAATTTTCTTTGATTTAGACCTCGTTTTGGGGTCGAATTTGAAAACCAATTGTATATTCGGGCTCGTGGAGGAATGGGTNATTTTTGAGCACTTCATCACCAAAGCTTCTTGGGTAAGTAAATTCCCACTCATTCCCTTCATCTTCCTTCATTAATTAATGAGTTTCTAAACCTAAGTCATGTAATCTAGGGTTGAAATTGGGGGAAAATGGTAGAGTTAGGGCTTTTCGATTTTTTTTGATTTAGACCTCGTTTTGGGGTCGAATTTGAAAACCAATTGTATATTCGGGCTCGTGGAGGAATGGGTGACATGGAATTGGTTCGAACTTCGGGTTTTGACCAAGCGGGCCCGGGGTTGATTTTTGGAATTTTGGGAAGAAAGCTTAGAAATTCATATTTAGGCATTGGGTTTAGTTTATTTAGCTACTATTAATATTTTAAGGTCATTATTTAAAAGATTTGACTGTGTTGGAGCCGAATTCGAGGGGTAAAGCTATACTAGAGGCTTGAGTTGAGTTTGGAGCATTCGAGGTAAGTGTTTGATCTAACTTTGGCTTGAGGGAATAGGATTAGAGTATTATTTGCTAATTGCTAAATATTGAGTACGGTGTATAGGCATGGTGACGAGTATCTATACACCGGTGTCTAGCATGACCGTGGGTCTTTATTTGTGCTTAATTGGGATTCTGTAGTGACTCTTCCTTGTTAATTGATGGTTTCTATATGATATGAAGAGAATGAGAAGGAAATATGATGTGTAAACTCTTTGGAGCGTTGGCTCGATTTTTGACTTGATTAAAAAGTAAGAAATGAACGTAAGAGAAAGAAATGTGATTATTCCCTTGCCGGACGTGTAAGTTATTGTTGTTGCTCCCTTGACGGGATTTAACTGCTTAGTCGTATTCTCCCTTGCCGGGAAACCACTTATATATTATGAAATGGGATCGTGTGGCACGCCGACCACTTATATATTATGAAATGGGATCGTGTGGCACGCCGACCACTTATATTTGCTGAAATGGGATCGTGTGGCACGCCGACCACCTAGTTATACTATGAAATGGGATCGTGTTGCACGCCGACCACTTATATAGATTATGAGATCTGATGTAGTTTCGTGTTTACTTCTGATAAGTTGTTTTCATCTGTATTTCCCCTAAGCATGTCCCCTCCCCGCCTTAATTGGTATTTTCTGCTGTTATTTCGTTGCACTTGTATATACATATATATCTGCACAGGTTGTTTTTGGTAGGTCCTGTCTAGCCTCGTCACTACTTCGCCGGGGTTAGGCCAGGCACTTACCAGCACATGGGGTCGGTTGTGCTGATGCTACACTCTGTGCATCTTTTTGCACAGATCCAGGAGCAGCTTTTGGGCCTCAACAGTAGGATTTGATCGGGAGCTGACTTCAGTCCAGGGACTTTCGAGGTAGCCTAGCTGACATCCGCAGGCCGGAGTCCCTTCTATATTATTAGTTTGTTTTCTTTGTACCGAGACAAACATTAATGTACTTCTATTCGGACTTGTTTTTAGCACTCTTTAGTAGTTCGTGAGTTAGTGACACCGGATCTGGGTAGAGTTGTATTTAAACTTCTGCATTTGGTTTTCAGTTATCTATGTCTTTAAGACTTCCGCTTTTATTTAAATGACTCGTTTTATTTATATCGTTGAGATGTTATCAGAAAATGTTTTAATACTTGGCTTGCCTAGCTCCGACAGTAGGCGCCATCACGACTCCCGATGGTGGGAAATCCGGATCGTGACAGTGGGCAAGTTGTTTGATGTATATTACCATTATCAGAAAAAAATTGAATGGCTAAATTGGAGGAACCAAGCTCCAAGGCATTATCACTTCTAACCTTTTGGACAGAAAGGTGAAACTGTGTCTTGGCCGTGGCTATGAATGCTTTAAGTAAAGTGAAGGCATAGCTCTTGGAGTGTAAAAGATGTGTCCATGTTGCTCTGCTATAGTCATCAACTATTGTCAAAAAATATTTTGCTCCAGAGTAAGTTTGGGTGTGGTATGGTCCCCGAGTGTCAACATGAATAAGTTGGAATAATGAGGTGGAATAGGAAGAACTATCTGGGAATGATAACCTAGGCTGTCTAACTAAAGGACAAACATGACAAATAAAAGACTGTTTAGCAGACAAATCATTAGAGATAGAAGGTATATGCTTCATTTGAACAAAAGGAACATGCCCCAATCTATGATGCCAAAGAACATCATTTTTATTCACATTATTTGGAACAGTACAAGAAGGTAAAGTAGAAACATAACATGAGTTCTCAGTTTGCTCATTTTGAATAGTAGCACAAGGTGAAACAGGAGCAGAATTGTAGTTCACATTTTGAGCATTTCCATGCAAAGAAAATTCAGCACTCTGTACTTCATTTGTAAAAAGAGAAACAGAATTATTTGGAGATGTGGGAGGAGCAGGATGGTTGAGGTGAAATTTGTATAATCCTTGATCTATTCTACCAAGCTCCAGAAGCTTCTTCATAGAATGGGCCTGTAGAATTATGCAAGAAATAGAAGTGAACAGCACATAACAATTGAATTGTGCTATTACCTTGCTCACAGAAATGAGATTGTAATGAAAAGATGGAATGTATAAAACACTGTGTAGAGTGAAAGATGGTAACATAGTAAGAGAACCTGTACATGTTACCTTAACTTTATAGCCATTGGGTAAAGAAACTAAGTAAGGAACAGGAAGGGGTGTAATATTAAAAAGAAGATCCTTATTTGAAGTCATGTAGTCAGTTGCCCCTGAATCCACTATCCAAACCCTTCCAGCTACACTAGTCAACATACGTACAGTAGAACTACCATTTAAACACACAGGAAGAGAAGAAGTACTACCAGCAAAATTGGCAGATCCCATTAGAACAGGTTGAGACCCTGATTCACCCAATATAGACTGACTTAGCAATTGCATCAACTGGGAGCATTGTTCTTTGGTGAGACCAGGGATCAAAGAGCTTTGATCAGTTGGAGAATACATTGCAGAAGGTTCAGAAGTTTTTCCCTCAGCACTTGCAGTAGTACTAAACTTCTTACCTTTTGTGAATTTGAAATTTGATGGAAAACCATGTAATTTGTAGCATTTCTCAATTGTATGACCAGGTTTCTTGCAATACTTGCAAGATAAAGTAATATTGGACTTTTGGCTGATTGAATCAAAATTCACCCTTTGTGTATATTGTTTTGTAAATGAGAGTTGAGAAGGGAATCTGTTAATGTTGGAACTTGCATTAAAAGAGGCTGATTCTGGATTAAGTTGGGTATTGGGGACAACCTGTCTCTGTTTTTCATCTTGCAACAAGATGTTGTAGACAGTATCAGGGATGGTAATGGTTGCATCATTAAGATGTTGCTTCTTATGCCCACATAAACCTCATTAAGACCCATGAAGAATTGATGAACCCTGTCCTCTTCTTTCTCCTCTGGAGTCCCTCCTTAGTAGCACAAACACAAGAATTTGCATGACTCGTACACATAACCCCTAATTCGTCCCAGAGTTTCTTAAGTTTGTTGAAATATGAAGCTATGTAGAGAGCCCGTTGATAAGTGGAGGAAAGTTCTCTCTTTATTTCAAACACCTTAGTTCCATTGACAGTCCCATACCTATTATTCAATTGTTTCCATATGCTTTCAGCAGTTTCAAAATATTGTACACTTTCAGCTATGTCTGGAGAAAGGGAATTGATTAACCAGGATATGACCATATTATTGCACCTGTCCCACTGCCTGTACTGGGGAGAATTGACAACAGGCTTGGTGCAAGAACCATCGATAAAACCTATTTTGTTTCTAGCGGACTGAGACACGATCATACTCCTCCTCCAACCCCCAAAACTGGACCCAGAAAAAGGCACAACAACTAAGGACACACTCGATACATCGAAAGGAAGTAGAAATAGCGGACTTGAAGGTTCAGGAGTATAAGCAGGAGAGGAAGAACTTGAGTCTGGAGTAGAATTAACCATGATAACAGAATACAACAACAAAAATTCACAAACAATCAATTCATGCAAGAGATCAAATAGAAACGAGTGTACCACACTTCTTCGCAACCTGAAGAAGAAAGGCCTTGAGAAACTTCAGCTTTATCAAAAGACCAACGGAACTCTGTTAATCGGCGGAAACCCTAGTTTTTGACGACGAATACAAAGCTCCGATAATCAGGAACAAATTATCACCAAAATAGAATCATATAGTTGAAGATGACTTCCTTAGCCCGAAAATTGAACAACAAGCAACAAAAAAATTAACGAAGAACATCAGATTCTGAATCTCAGCGAAAATTGAAACAATGAAGATAGACTCGATGAAATTTGACGAGGGTAACATCGGTCGATGCAGATTATCGGGGACTACCAGATTACCCGCTCTGATACCATGTTAGAATCAGAAATCAACATAAGAGTGCAGATTTTCAATTAGGGTTCATGATGAAGAAGAAATGGAAAAATTGTCTCAGAGAAAAAAAAATGCTCTGGTATTTTTTATACCAGTGAAAAAATGAAAAGGAAGCCTCTAGAATGTTAACTATCCCCTATTTATATTTTGGGCCTTTACAATGTAAGAAAAGAAAGAAAGAAAATGATGATGTTACAAAATAAATAATGGGCTAGGCCCAAACGTTCCAGTTTTAGCTCTTGTGTAGGCTCAGTCTTCGTGGACCAATCCTCAGGTGACTCCAACACAAATTATAATATTACGAATTTAAATTTAATGACCAAGTAATCACTATTTCGGTTTGGTTTTCCTCTTACACAACCAATTGAAGGTTTAATTTGAAAAATTTGCAAGTCACATTCTGATAGATGAGTGAACAGAACAAGGTTATTATTTTCTTTCAATTGTTTATTTGGATACATTGTTTTAGATCAAACACTAGGGTGATATTTTTCCATATACTAGTATCTAACTTCATACATTGCACGTGCATCCTATATCAGTGAGCATAAACTTTTAAGAATCACATACGTATTATTAGGGAATATTTTTGAGTTATAAAATAAAAGTTAAATTATGTTAGGACATAGATATGCATGAACAAAAGTTAAGCAGTTCTTATATATATATATATATATATATATATATNCGAAGCGAGCACATGTGCTAGAAGAGGAGAATTATATTGCGTTAGTAAAACCTTATCATAAAAATCATATTTTGCCGCGGAAAAGAAATTAAGAAAATCACAAAACGTAAAAGATAAGGCATGATACCATTTTGTGATTTGTTGTGCTGTTTATACGACTACTCCTCTCTATCCTATATATAATTCGTTAGAGAGTGACAAAGCATTTATGTTGCAAAAGAATCTATACTTATATGATGTGGAGGTATAGGAAAAAGAAAGACCAAGAGTCAAGAAAATTAATCAAGAGATAGTGGAAGAATTTTGCGATGTTAATAAATTAATGTTTTTTTTATATTTATTTAACATGCTTTAAAATGTTAATTTTTTAATATTATATTTATTTGTTAATTTGTTTAACATGTTTAATATGTTAATTAGCTTAACATTAAAGTAAATCTTATGTAAATTTTTATAGCATGTATTAAATGTTAATTAGTTTGATATTAATTTTATTTACATGCTAATATAAGTTATTTGTTAACTTATGATCCACATGGCATTATAAAATTATGATAGATAATTATGTTATCTTAAACATGATTAAGACACTAAGCTAGATAATTGAATAGGTTAATTTTCATAATATCTTAATTCTTGGACGATGACTGGGAACATAGTGAACTTTCGACTCCATAATTAATATATGTGTTTATTAACTTAATCAATTGATTCTTAGTGTCATAATATGTATCTATGTAGAACATCGTGCCTTGCGTTATTTTTTTTTACATGATCCTCATATTATGTTTTTATTTTGTTAAAGAATGACTACTGTTTCGAAAAATATTATTGCTGAGCTCAACAAAGGGTTGAAACTCAATGGTGACAACTATATGAAACCTAGAGCTTGAAAGTTCAGTATGTGCTAGAGGAGCAAGAAGCTCTGGAGGCTATTAACAATGTCATGAATGAGCCTGAGGAAGGCAACACTGCTCAGCATAGGCGTGGGCATGAAGCCTATGACAGTTGGAAGAAAAAGAACTCCATTGCTCGCATTACGTCGTTGAGCACCTTGGATGATGACATTCTAAGAGAGTTTAAGGATAACCAAAGAGCTATGGATCTTTGGAATGCTTTAAGGAAAAGGTTTGGTACCTGTTCCACGGCAAGGCTGTGATCCTTAACGACCAAATTTGATTCATATAAGAAACGCCCAGAACATTCAATAAAAACACATCTGAGGCAAATGACAAATATGATCGGGGAGTTGAAAGATGTTGGTCATGTGTTGACTGATGATCAACAAATTCAAGCTGTCATACGCTCTTTACCTAGTTCTTTGGATCATATGAAAATGCATTTGACCCATAATGAGTGAATCACAACTCTAGAAGATGTCCGGAGACACCTTGAGTTAGAGGAGGAACGACTAGAGGCTGCAAAGCCATTAGCTGAGTTGCACATGGAAATAACCTCCAAAACCAAGAGTGATTCAAAGAAAAGGAACTGGGGAAAGAAGAGATGGCCACCTCAAGCTCAGCCAGCGCAATCTGCTAAAAGAGCAAAGACTGAAAAAGGCAAGAACAGACGTCCCAAACGTGTCAATGTTGCTAAAGTGAAATGCTATAATTGTGACAAGATGGGTCACTATGCCAGAGATTGCTCTGAGCCTCCAAGAAAGGTATTTCACGATGCTCGAATTAGTGAACTTTGTGTTTCTAGTTCTGTTTTTCTAACTGAATCTAATCCTTAGTGGATTGTAGACTCAGGAGCAACGGACCACATAGCCTGGGAGCGCAGTGCCTTTGTTGAATTTCGGTGAGTTCCACGTGGAGAAAAGTGGATATATGTAGGCAATAACAATAAAGTTGTTGTTGAAGGGATCGGTACATGCAAGTTAGTCTTGCGTGATGGTCGAGACCTAATACTACATGATGTTCTCTTTGCACCAACAATTCGCCGAAATGTTATTTCAGTTTCAGTTTTGCTTAAGCTAGGATTTGACTTGTTTTGTCATGACAATTCTGCCAAGTTGCCTTTTGGTTTAACTTTATTTGGTTTTGGTCGTGTGACCGGAGGTTTAATTATGATGGATTTGGATTATGATTCATTTAATAATAATGCTAATTTTTCTATGTTTGTTTTTTCACATAATAATTATAGTGAGGTAAAACATATGGCATGCTAGACTTGGTCATATTGGCCAACAAAGAATGCAAAGGTTAGCAAAATAAGGTTTTCTTTCCAACATTTAACATGTAAAATTGTCCGCTTGTGAAAATTGTCTAGCTGGAAAATCTGCAAGAAAACCTTTTGGTCAGGCGACTGCAGCTGAATATTCTTCGCAATTAGTCCATTCGGACATCAGTGGGCCTATGAATGTTAGGGCTAGGCATGGAGAAATTTATTTCATTGCATTTATTGATGACTTTACCCGTTTCAGTTATGTCTATTTAATTTCCCACAAGTCAGAAGCAATAAATTGCTTCAAGCGGTATATGAGCTTAGTGTAACGACCCGACCGGTCGTTTTGAGCTCTAGCGCGTTGTTCGGCGGTTTGAGGCCATGAAAAGCTCCACTTTAGGTATTACGACTTGTACGTGTGGTCGGAATTGAATTTCGGGAAGTTCGGAGTTGGGTTGGAAAGAAAATTCTCATTTCGGAAGCTTTAAGTTGGAAGAATTGACTAAGGTCTAATTTTTGAGTAAACAAAATCGGAATTAGGATTTGAAGGTTCCGGCCGGTTCGTATGATGATTTTGGACTTGGGCGTATGTCTGTATCGGGTTTTGGATGACCCATGAGCATTTTGGCGCCTATTGTGGAAGTTAGCATTTTGGAAGAATTTCATAAGTTTAGGTTGAAGTACATATCAGTGTTATTGATGTCCATTTGGGATTCCGAGTCTGGAAATAGCTCCGTATGGTGATTCTGGTATTGGGAGCGCGTTCGGAAGTGGATTTGGAGGTCCATAGGTCATTTTGGAGTCATTCGGCTAAAGTTAGAAATTTGAAGGTTTTTGAGAAGTTTGACCGGAAGTGGACTTTTTGATATCGGGGTCGGATTCCGATTCCGAAAGTTGGAGTAGGTCCGTAATGTCAAATATGAGTTGTGTGCAAAATTTAGGGTCAATCGAACGTGATTTGATAGGTTTCGGCATCAAATGTAGAAGTTTGAAGTTCTAATGTTCATCAAGCTCGAATTGGGGTGTGATTCGTGATTTCGACGTTGTTTGATGTGATTTGAGGCCTCGAGCAGGCCCGCATTATGTTTTGGGACTGGTTGGTATGATTGGTTGGGGTCGCGGGGGCCTCGGGTGGATTCCGGATGGTTAAAGGATCAAATTTGGAATTTGAAGAAGAATTTAAGTAGCCGGTATCTGGTGTAACCGCACCTGTGAGGTTTTGGCCGCAGGTACGGAGCCGCAGAAGCAGCCATGAGGGTCGCAGATGCGACTTTGGATGGGAGTGCTGGGACCGCAGATGCGGTCATCCCGTCGCAGAAGCGGGACCGCACCTGCGGAAGAGAAGGCGCAGATGCGAAGTGGAGGGGCAGAAGGAGGACCGCAAAAGCAGAATTGGAACCGCACCTGCGGAACCGCAGGTGCGAGAATCGGGCTGAGCAGTTTTTTTTTAAAAGCGAGGGTTTGGCTCACTTTCACCATTTTTCCTCCATGGGAGCCGCTTTGGAGCAACTTGGGAGTCCCATTTTCACCACCAAGCTTGAGGTAAGTGGTTTATGCTAGTTTTGAGTTAAATACATGATTGTATATGGATTTGAGCATCAAAATTAGTGAAAAACTTGGATTTGAGGGAAAACCTAGAAAATTGATATTTTTGGATTTTGACCACGATTTTGGACATGAAATTGAGAGTAAATTATATATTTGAGTTCGTGA